ACCGGATGATCGGCGCTACGCAACCAAGACATGCCTAGAATCATGTCGAACTTGGTGTCGAGGATGTCAAAAGACATCGGCTCGCACGCAAGTGGTGCAAAGTATACCGGAACGCCGTCGGCGCATCGATCAATTGACTTTTGCGTGCGGCCGTCCGCGAGTGTAACTTGCGTGGGTTGCGTCTTCCTTCGAACGCGCAGGCCAAGAACTGCGCGGGCCATGAAGGCTTGGCTTATAAAGTTGCGAGACGCTCCGCAATCAATCAAGGCACTACAGGTTGCCTTTCCGATTTGAATGCGGATATAGAGCAAAGGCGCGTCCGTTTCGGCGTACCTTTGGGTGGCGTACTCGCGGTCAATCTTCGCAAGATAGGAGCGGAGATCGACAACCGCTAGCCCGTCGTCCGTCAACGGAGCTGGTAGTGTAGTGTGCAAATAGGAGCGTAAATCTGCCATCAAGGCGTTGCAATGCGGCTTTGGCAAGGTTCCGGTCGAGGGTAGAGGCATCCAAGCGAAGTCCTCTCTCGTGAGCAGGTCAAGCTCCTCAAGTCTTGACCACGCCGTCGAGTCCTTGAAAATCAGTGGCGAACTGACCGGATCAATTGCAAACGGTGTACAGGCTGCGCATACGCTAGCTAAATGCACGTGGCTTAGCTGATCTAATGGTGCTTAGCTGATCTAATGGTGGTACCAGCTGGGCGGCATAATCCTCGTACGTAGCACGAGAATTAGCGACTAACGCATGCTCCCCGGTAGTGACATCGATTGCTAGCAAGGCAACCGGGTCCGGCGGAGTGAGGAGAGACGTCGCCCCTCTCCTTGTGTAACTCAGTTTCCCGAGTTTGCTGGACGGAGTACGCGTGCCTTGCCCTTTTCGGGGCATTGTGCAGTCAAGTGTGTGACTCCATTGCACCAAAGGCAATATCTGTACTTCTGACGAAGTTCATAGACTTCCTTTGTATATTGTAGGCCGTCCATGGCTGCTGCCCAGTTCCCGTCGATGCCGTCTCTTGTCTCGCCTTGGGTTTCCGGACCCTCTTAGGACGCTTCGGCTGGAGTGCTGCTACAATTCCTCCATCACTCGAGGATTCTGCTGCAGCGTGGAGATCGTCTGTTTCTTTCGAAATCACGGCATTGTTATGTGCCGGAAGTTGATAGCCCTGCTTGGCCACATAATGCGGCTGGGATTGTTTCTCGCTAGCGGCCTTGTCGTCCGTTTGGATGACCAGGTTTGCGCGATCCAGGATAGCCTGGAACGAGGTATAGTCGTATTCGTTACCGAGTGTCGACCGCAATCCTGCGCACGATCGCGAGAAGAACTCGGATCGTTGATTAGGAAAAGTCAAATCGAAGCCTGGCGTGGTCACTATCTTCTGCCACTTGGTTGTCCAGTCTCGAGTTGGCATGTTCCCTTGAGAGCATGTGTACACCTCATTCATGGCCGCCTTCACGACGTTGCGGACCATGAACCGGGTGAACCATAACTGCTCGAACTCCTTCCACGTGATGTGCGTGTGAAGTTCGGCGATGGTGCATGTGTGGGTAGCCGCCAGGTGGTTCATCCATGCCTGCGCTCCTCCAATCAGCTGTAAGTATAGCGCCTTCATCATGTAGTCGTCTGGGACAGTGCAGCATGATGCTTCCGTAAGGAAACGTTGCCACCATGCCAAGGCGTCCGTCTTGTTGTGGTCGTCGAACTTGCTGATGTCGAAGTGTGGCATCTTGTAACTCTTCGTAGCGGCGTCCCGTTTCGTCTGCAGCTTGGTGATGTTTGTCTTGATGGCCGCCACCGTGCTACTGATCGTGTCCGGCCCATTGAAAACACCTATATCGCCGACATGATCGATGCGCCCATTGAGCTGCTTCGTCGTGTCTGTCATATCTGGCGTGCAGCCTGGCGCTGCTTGGGGAGGCCTTGCCTCCAAGGTAGCAATGCGTGCATCCAGCTGTTTCAACTGGTTGTCCGCGACCTTGACAGCTGCTGCAAGTATCTTCACGCTGTGGCTCAGATCGTGCTACAGTTGCAGTGTGGACCGGGAATGGAGCTCCCCAATGGAGCTGGTCCAAATGACGGCGCGCATTGTATGGAGTAGAATATCTGCCAGGTCTTGCCTCTCTTGCTGTACTGTTGTCGGCTCGCTGCCGGGTACCGGGACATAACGCATCCCATTGCGCACCGTTGTCCATTGTGCTTGGTTAGCACTTACAAGAGCAGCGCTGCCGGCGTTGAGCTGATCGATCGCCAAGCGGTCTGCCTCGGCTTGACGCCGGGTTTGTGTTGCAGCTTTCTCTGCTAGCCGTAGTCTTTCGGCTGCGGCAGCCTCTTGCTGGTCCTTGACCTGAGTGAGTGCGACTGTATAGTCCAACATTCGCTGAATGAAGTCCGGGAGGGGATCATTCGACTCTCGCACCGGACAGACCGGTAAAGGTTCGACATTACTAGCTGTCGAACCCTCGGATGATGATCCGCTGTGTGGCGTGTTCGCCATCTGAGTACTGGTCTGTGGCGGTTGTAGAACTGTAGGTTGCTGTTGCTGTTGGCGATCGACGATCCGCTTGCTGCGTCGTGGCTGCTGTTCGGAGGCTGGCCCTGCTGGCATCAGAAACTGTTGCTGAAGACTGGCTCGTCCGACGGATCGCAAACAGGGTGTCGGAGAGGGTGGGCACAGGGATAGAACAGCTCAAGCAATAAACATGCAGTCCCTGTCCCAAGGATGGACTAAGACACCTAATCAAACAAACAAAAAAAAAAATCTCGTAAATAATTCCAAAATTCGTAAGAAGAAAGAATTAATAACGAATTATTTAATCAATAACATTAATTAATGATAAATAACGAAATAATTCTTAATGATAATCAATGAAACAATGTTTGTAATAAAGATAATCAATAACCAATGGTTGCAATAAAGATAATCAATAAACAATAATTGCAATCATGAGAATAAACGAATTTGAATTGTATTATGATTAGGTCTCTTTGAGATCAAATACGGTCCGGGAATTCACCGTTAATGAGTGAACTACGCGGAAGTTGCAACTTTGAGGGTTAGCTTCTGATTCGTTTGCCCAAAAAGTTTCGAAAAAAGTTAGGGAAAAACACTCGAATTTTCAAAAAACGTCAATTTTCGAGAATTTCCACTGTCGAAATTCGATTTTTAAAGGTCTAAACCCGTTTTCGGAATTTCTCAAACAAGGGGAACGAAAAAAAAAAATTCGCGAAAATTTTGGTCCCAACCCTAATTTTCCGCGTTTCGGCGGAATTTCCGGATTTACGATCCCAAAAACGTTCCAATTCCCCCAAGTTGATCTAAAACCAAAAGATTTCGTAACCCTAACTTCCACTACTGCGATAAAACGGAAATGCCGATTTGTAAAACGAAATACTGGATTAAAAACCAGAATGCCGAAATAAAAACGGAATACCGAAAGAAATCAGAATGCCGAAATCAACAGAAAACTGATTTAACCCTAATTACGAAGTACTGACCAGAAATCCGAATCAAACAGAATGTTGGATAAGTATCAATTTATCGGAACCTAATTAAACAACATACCAGCGAAAACAGAAATCCGGATAATTATTTTGAATACTTAATTGAAACGGAAATGGCGAAATAAACAGAATAACCGAAAAAGAAAAAAAAACTTGCAATTTTGAACTTGATAGTAATTCAGCGCTGATTTGGAAGATTGAAGAACAATCTAATTCCTAAATCAATCTTACCTGGTGAGCAGATCTGTAATTGGTCTGCTCCGATGCCAAAACTGTTACATACTTCAACGAGTATGGGCAGAACCAAATATCAACCAATGTAGGATGAGCATATATGCAGCGGAAGTCTGATAAACGGACTGACTCACATAGATTGACTCACATAGATTACTCCACACACATACAATCGTGAGATGGTGGGGTCTGGGCCAAGCATGGACGATGCCCAGATCCCGTACACACATACACAGATGAAAGGTGGGAAGAGAGACGAAGGAGGTGGGAGAGGTAGATAGCACCGATAGGTCACCGAGATAGAATCCGATAGGTCACCGATATGGTAGTCCGAAATATCATCCAACAAGATCAAAATGTCGAGGACAATCAGTCACCAATGTCGGAGATACAGAGTCCAAATGTAACCGGTGTCCGAACTGTGATGCCGCCAAGTGTCAACCCCAACAATATCCAAGTCTCCAATCCGGTAAGTACCACAGTCTCATACCACCGAAGTCCAACTCTGATCTCTGTCCAACTGGTATAAGTCTTTAGCCTAAAGAAGAAGAAGAAGAAGAAGAAGAAGAAGAAGGAGAAGAAGAAGAAAACGAGAGAGAGAGAGAGAGAGAACGAAGGTGAGGAGGGAGAGGGACCGTGGAGGGAGGAAGAGATCCTCGCCTCCTGGTCCCTGTCCTGCTGCTGCTGAGGCGGCGATGGCCGTCGTGCTGCTGCTGCTGTCCTCGCTCGTTGCTGCCGTTGCGCTAGCTCGCGCTGCTGCTGTCCTTCGCTCCTGCGCTAAGAATAGCGCTCAAACGGCGCTCTGGCGCCGACCGTACCGCACCGCATAGACTGTCGGTGGGTCGATAGTCTCAGTGAGGCTGGACCGGTACCTTTGTACCGGTGGGCAGAGGTCGGCCTCTATGCTGCGAGGCCGGACCGTGCCCTGAACCATCCAGATGGACAGTTCAGCCCCAACCGGCGGGCGGCAGCCTCAAGAGCGCCGCCAGACCCAAACGGTAATATCGTTTGGGCCTGCCCGTCGGGTCTGGTCCAAGGTAAGGCCTTTACGGCCTGTAGTAGCCCAAGGTCGGGCCTTTAGGAGTCTGTCTCCCCCTAAGTCGGGTCGGGTAGCGCCCGTGTGCGTCGAAGATGTAACAACATACCTCAAGAGTGTTTACTTTTGAGGTGTGATCTCGTCCTTTGATCAATTCCTAGGGACAAATCTTGTCCGAGATAAAAACTACAAGCCTTTATGCAAGTTAGAGCCCTTAGGGCTCTAACTCACATTTCAAGTGTATCCACCTCAAATTTTGGTTAGATGCACTTTTTCCTTTCCTTTCCTTTCCTTTCCTTCCTTGAGTTGGCACCACCACAATGCCCCCTTTTTCTTTTTCTTTCTTTACTTTATTCGGGATATGTGAGAGATAATGCCCTTAGGGCCATATCTCTAACTCCGGATTTTCCTCCATGAAATCTGGAATATCCAGCCTAGGTAGAGACTTGTCAGTCCCTATATTGCCAGTCCCAACTGGTCAGCCACCTCATTCCTCTCTTTTCTCCCCTTTTGTCTCACTCTCCCTTGTTTTTCTCTTTTTTTTTTTTTTTCTTTTATTTTGGTTGTTACAAGTGTCAAGCTGTTGTGCACCCTCTTTCTAGGCCTTAGGGCCTCATTCAAGGCCAAGTTCATGGTTGGTACTTGGCCGTTATATGTCGGAGTCCAACAATGGCACCCCCATGCTCCTAGGGGCCTCCATTTTGCTCCCGTTTACCCAATTTTGAGCCCGTTTTGCTCCGATTTTCTAAGGGCAACCTTTTTCTCATGTTGAGCCTCTTAAGGTTCTATTTTCTCATGCCTAGCTAGTCCGAGATATCCCGGACTGCTGGGCAGCCTTCTCAACATCCTTATTTTCACTTTTCTCTCTCCCATGGCTCTTCCACTTGCTCCCACTACTGCTTGCACTAGTGGTGCTAATATTTTCCACCGTCTAGATCCTCGATCTCGACGGTGCCGTTTGCTTGCACTATTATTCCTTGTGTTTGCTCATGGACATCCCAAGTCCCCGCCATTTTTCTACATGCTAGCTCCATTTCCTTGTCCCGCCGGCGGTCCCACCGGCGCGTGTTTCATTTTTCGATTTTTATTATTTGGACCCATTTGGTCCCCGACAACATTCTGGACGGCGTCCCAATTTTATTTTTTTGGGGTCCATTGCCCTTGGTGATCCCATCATTTTTACATGTGTGCCGATCTTTCTAGGCCGTGAGATAACATCTCACGGTTGCCGTTTACCGTCTTTACTTGCCCCTTGCCAAAATTGTTCCTTTCTAGCCTTCCGGGCTTGCCGTAGCCCATTTCTCCTTGGCCTTGGCATCCCCATGCACTCCGTAACTTCTCCGACTGCAGTCATGGCTGTTTTCTACACTCACAGCCCCACAACTTGCCCCATGTTAACAGAAAATGAAGCGTTAAATTTTCTAGTGCATCTGGGCTCAATATTGGCTCCGGATGCACCTTGAACATGTGTTTTCTCTCCCCCATGCAGTCCGTTGCGACTCGGACTGCAATGGGGGTCAATTCCTTAGCACCAATGCCCCACAAGTAGCCCTTACTCAAAAGAAAAAGAAACGACCAATTCCCAAGCGCATCCGGACTAGATTTTGGCTCCGGATGCACCTAAAACATGTGTTTCTCCTCATGCATGTATTCTGTTTTATTCCGGTTGCAAGAGGCTTTGATTTTCTTTGATTTTCTCTGCAAAAATAAAAAAAAATCAAAATCCTTTGTAACCGCCATATTCCATAATGAATCTGGTCACGGATGAATCTCCCCAAGTGACCGTTTTTTACCATTAAGGCCTTTTTCGCTTTTCTTTTCTTTTCTTTTCTCCTCGTTTCTTGGACAGTAGGGAACTGCCAGTCCCTACCTATGGCAGTCCCTACTAACGCCCAACTCATTAACTCCCTCTCACTCTTTTTGTCTTATTCTCTCTCATTTTCATTTTCTTTTTTTTTTCTTTTAGCATGCCAAATGTCAACTAGCCGTTAAGGCGCTTTTCTCATTTTTTTTTTTTATTTTTTTTTTTTTTCTTTTCCCTCCACTTGTGGCTAGTTGGGACTTGGCAGTCCCTACTTGCTGCAGTCCCAACTGACGGCCAACTCACTCATTCTCTCTCACCTCCCATTTTTTTTTTCCTCTCATTTTTCTTTTTCTTTTTTGCATGCCAAGTGTCAACTAGCCGTTAAGGCCCTTTTCTTGCCTCTTCCTNAGC